GGGCCCCCATATTAATAGACTGGCGAGTAGACTTAGCTCAGCAGCTTTCGCGGTCAAAAAAATAAGACAGTTAACTGATGTTGATACGGCTCGCTTGGTATATTTTAGTTATTTTCACAGTATAATGTCTTATGGCATTCTGCTTTGGGGTAACGCGGCCGACATTAATACAATCTTTATCTTACAAAAGAGAGCTATTCGTGCAGTTTACAATCTGGGCCCCAAAGAATCGTTAAGAAACTTGTTTAAAGAGATAAAGGTATTGACTGTTGCTGCTCAATACATTTTTGAAAATGTTTTGTATGTCCATAAAAATAAGGATAAATTATTAAGACATAATAATGTTCATGATATAAATACTAGGAACAAAAATAAATTGATCCTACCCACAAGTAGACTCCGTAAAATAAGTAAATCTTTTATGGGACAATGTATACGTTATTACAACAAAATTCCAGAAAACGTTCAAAATGCATCAATAGCTAAATTTAAAAAAATAGTAAAAGAACGTTTGTGTGTTAAAGGCTACTATAATATTAATGATTATTTAAATGATAACACACTCTGGTAATGAACTGATCGCTCCAGGCTCTTTCAATCGGAGTTCTTCTATTGTATTTTAACGAATTTATGTCAAACTGCTTATTTAAAAAAAAAAAAAAAAAAAAAGCCCGCTGAGTTTCTTTCGCCGGTTCTTCTCAGTACAGTGGCTTTCTTTTCCGAACCGGTGGTAGTGTTTTGACTATCAATAAGTGAGTGTAATGCTCCTATGTTGAATAAATACATTTGATTTTGATTTTTTGATTTGATTTTGAGTCATGTCAAGTTCTTGGTTGTCAACGCATCCGTAACCCTCGGGTGTGGCAGATGTCCATGGGCGGCGGTATTCACTTAACATCGGGTGAACCGTGTGCTCGTTTGACAACTTTTCGCATAAAATAAAAAAATAAAAAAAATAGTTTTAAACTACTATCCAGATACCTAAATTTGAAAGTACCTACATTTAATTACAAACAAATAAACATTTTATGAAATGATGTCTGTATTTTAGTATCCTGGTTTTATATCTCTTGGCGTTCGTTTTAATTTTCGTGTTATAGAATTCAATTCATTTCTAGAAACCAATACATCATAACAATAATTTCTATTGTCGGTTTTCCACTGAGATTGCATTATCAAAAAGGATTTTTAACAATTCGTTTCCAGAAAACGTTTCGGAAATTAATTTAAAAAATCTGCTTATAATACGAAACTCGTTACTTGAGCCTTACTATCTGCAAAAGTGAATCAATGTTTAATTATGTACAATCTTCTGCGAGAACAAGACAAAATAATAATAACGACTCAATCGCCTTTGTGGAAAATTTTAAGCGTCCCCAACGGTTTCGTTTACCAGTATTTCGCTTCCGCCATAGTTATTTAAAAAACGCCGAAAACAAGTTTGTTTTCAATATACGAAATGGATAAACGGCCGAGAATATACGAAGATGTGAAAACAAAACTGAGTTTTCGCATCCACGATAAACGATAATGTTAATCTGAGTCTGTAGTATAAGATATCGAGAAAAAAATGGTTCACAATAAGAAGGCACTAATAATAATGCTAATTGTAATTGGTAATTACTAAGTTACGTTTATAATTCATAAGTCCTAAATTTTGTATTGTTTTTAAATTTTGATAGGATCTGTTAAATACGTAACGATATTTATGGTTCCATTTACGCTTATCAGGGCTTATTTTTATATTAATTGCCAGGGTTGAGTCTTTTTTTCCACCTTTTTTCACTCAAGAACCACCTGTACCTTAAAGCGAACCCAGAGATGATTTCGATGACTGGTTACTTTTTATTTTAAAAAAAACTATCTCTTACCTGCTCCGTTGCTTAATCCTTAACACAAAGGGAATAGAGCTCATTACGAACGGACATAGAAACGTCGGGAGGTGTTTTTTAATGTCTTCTTTTCGTACAAGGGTGCGAAGATGAGTCCGCTGACGAGATCGGGTCGAGCAGGTAGGAAATCGATTGTTCGATTCTTACCGGCCGTAATGACGTCCGAAAAATTCCTCGAGTATTATTAACTCTAAATTTGAACAAAAGGATTGAATTCACTTTATATTGAACTAGCGACCCGCCCCGGCTTCACACGGTTGCAATGTATTATACATATAAACCTTCCTCTTGAATCACTCTTTCTAGTAAAAAAACCGCATCAAGATCCGTTGCTTAGTTTTAAAGATCTACATACATAGGGACAGACAGACAGCGGGACGACTTTGTTTTACACTATGTAGTGATACCGTTTCACTGTTCATATTTATGATTTCCTACCTTCAAAAACGAAGCGTTCAAAGCAAACACTACAATCTATTTCATAAGATTTATACTAACATATACAGTCAATTGTGTAATATTGCTATATCGTAGTAATAATATATGAGTCACACAATGTAAATTTCGATATTAAATAGTTTTATTACAGGTAAACTAAATGCCTTTTCACTCTACAGAATTCCTCTTTCGTAAATGGCAATTTCTAATCATTCAATTACAATACACCAGCCGTGTAGTATGTGCTCGTCATATAGACATCACACAATCGCGTAGAATTAACGTACGGCACAAGCAAATGGCAGATTTATAATTTGATCTCTAATTCCACCGCTGAAATTGGGCTCGCCGCAGTTTGCGGTTATCACACGCCGGCAATCTACCGCGTTGCGGAATGAGACGCGTGACATATTTCTATTTGCACGTGGCCCGGTTTAGAGGTCCTCGAGAGCAAACATGTTTTAGAAAAATCAACGTTAACGCCCTCTGTCTCGAGCCAGCAGTACTTATCCACGGAACTTCGAATCATACTTTTTCCCGCCTAAAAGAAACGGCAACGGAATATCAACTTCTTCGCCTTTCTATAATTTTTTAATCCTAATTGCGTTACCTAACTCGATTTTCCTCGAGGAAGACCACACAGGCATTAGCTAAATGAACAACGATAGGGATAAACTACAAAAACTGTGCTGTGAATGGCTATATGAAGGTAATAAAAACATGGAACTGATTTGTGTTTATGGCAGCAAACACTTTAACGTCTGAAGAAGCCGTACTATCAAGAAACTAGAAGAACTCTGATATAGCAGTTCAGATAGTTACGATACAATAATTTAATGGAAAAATGCCGTTAACAGACCTCAAACAATCCTGAAATTTAGGACATTTATAGAACCAAAATTCAAATTCAGATTTTAATTAACGGCGACCGATGATATTGTAAGCAACACTTCTACTGAGTATTTCTTCTAATATAATTATAGTTTATTAATCTGATGTAATAAATACATAGGAGTGGCAAAGAACCGCTAAAATCTGCATATTTACGGTATTTAGGTATGGTAGGTTGCCATTTCTGATGATTTTTTTAATGATCTCTCAGATATGCAGTGGATATTTATTTTAACTGTCGACAAATCAGCTTACATCGTAAATCAGCACTTAAAATTGCAATTACCACTTTTATTGGTGTCGTTATCGAGAGTTGAACAGAGGTTGCTCGAGTACCTACACTCAATAATTAAAAGAAAGCGCCAGATCAATAAGCTATCACGCCTGAATAATGAAATTAAAATGTATTTTATATCTCTGTCTATTTAGGTCGGTAAAAGTTGGAAAATACCGCCTGAGGATTATTTTTAATTTTTACATTATATTACAGCGTATCAAGGTAAATTCAGGGTACCTAAGTAACAGATGTAAATCAAGAAGCTGTACCTATTTTCATACTTTGGAAATGCAAAATGCATCTCGCAGGTTAGGAGAATCCTATCTGAAGCGGTGCACAGCATATATAGCATATAACTTGATTTTCCAATATTTCCTCGTTGTTCTAGAAGTATTGGAAAATAAATTTATTACCGTACAAGTGATTCAAATTGAACAGATTAGATTACTCGCTTCTCCAGCTCTTATAAATGCATCGATCTCCAAAGAGATTTGATATCTACGCAGCTATGTACTTACTCCCATTGCCCTAATCATTTATCCACACAAATATCTAACACTTTCAAAGTTATATAGACCTGTTAACTCTAAAATAAAATACGTGTGCATTGTGATCTTCCCCATTCACGTACCACGGAAATGTCAAGATTTATCGCGGGAACCCGATGGCAATCTCCTCAACTAACTATATTCGGTGTTATAGCAGCAGAGAACGAAAATTAATAGCACTGAAGACAACAAATGTACTAAAATATGATTAGGAAGATATGTCATTGCTTAAATTTAGAAATGTAAATTCATTTTACACCTAAATCTAAAAATTAACAAATGAATACAATTGTTGTATATGTTTTGATATTACCTCTAAATAGAACATGGATAGTAAAGTAAAATAAGATGAAAATAGCAAAAAAAAGAAGTTAATTAACACATGATAAAAGAAACAGTTGTCAACTATGCGAAAGCCAAAATAGGTTATAGCCGCTAAGTATTTAAACCGCACACAATGTTTATCTTATGAATAATTATTTCGTAAACTTTAGTCTTCAGCGTTGAGCAATTTTGTGCTCGAGTCGAAAGTTTTATTTCATTGCATTCGCGTTGTTCTGTGCTCTGAGGTCGATGCTATAAGAGTTGCTTTAGTTTGAATTCATCGGATACCACAGTTGTACCTACGGCCTGGAACTGATAGTATCGAAGAGTCGGTCGCGTGGAGCGCTGGTATGAAGAGCAATGGGCTCGTCTTATGGGTGAGTGGGAGCGCGATCCGGCATGCGCTTTACATTTTAAGCATAGTTATATTTTTTTAAGTATTTATATAACTTATAAATAAAAAAATATTCCTTCTACACCCAACTGAGCGAATAATAATTATAAGTATAATTTAAATTAAGAGTATAATCTATTTTTAAGCACACGAATGTTCATAAATTTAAAAGTTCATATAAAAATTTATGCTATAATAAAATCGTATGTATTTTCAAAAGTAGTAACTATTCGACGATGTTGAATTTCAATGAAACCATACTCCTTTTCCCAATAAACTGCTATAATTTACTACTGGCGAGCCGGATCGCCCACCGATCAGACAGAAGAAAGTACGGCGGGCGCGGGATGATAGCGGCGGAGGCTGCGACCGGCCGGACCGGTTATGCTAAACCCCATTGTGGTCAGTTTTTGTACCCGGACCCCCGCCTCCTCATACCAGTACCCCGGAAACCTTATTGCGAACGTTCCGCGAACGAATAAAGAGTTCGATATGCCAAAAAATTATATTATACCCAAACTGTTTATAAGACCAATGTACAACAATTATATTACATAAATATATAAATACGAGGTAGATATGACACACAAGCGCACCGAAACTGAGACGCTCAAATTACACCAATTGGTGTAATTATTAAGTATTACAATTAGAATAAGTATTACAATTCTACAGACTACTATCTCTTTCGTATCATACGTTCTATATCATCTGTCACATTCACTTATATAAGTCATATAATGTAAAGCGGAACAATTTTTAAGCGCCGCGCAGTGTGAACATGCGTCATCTATATTATTAATGGTGTACAACACAGAATATATTGATATTATGAAAATTTTACTAAGTATTATGAAGGCACGGTTTAACGATAGCCCCAACTTTGAGATCAGAGATTTATAGTGTGTATGTTTCATTCAAATTATTATGGTATCTATATCAATAGTGTAATGCGTTGGATTTATGTTATTTTATTGTCATTGCTCAAATTCTTCAATCTGTTTTAATAAATCTGTTTTAAGATCTAAAATGTTTCTTTAACACTGCTGTGTGTCGTATCTTGTGCTACCAAATGGAACATTTTACCGGTTGAATGCGAATAAGAAGAAATAACCAACGATTTAGTTTGTATATGAAACTACTACGGCTGCCTATAGCTCCATGTGGGAGTATAATCCTATGCAGATCTCGTTTATAAAAAATGAGTACACCTACTTATTATTCATAGGATTTTTACTAAAGTACTGTACTGGAGCAAAAAAGAATCAATTGTTAATTTTAACTCCGCGAACAGTACAAAAATCATATTATTTAAATCTTAAAATAGTACAGGAAGACATTAAAAACGAGAGTTAAGAATTCTTTTGATTATTAATTACTATGGATTGTCATTAGCATTTCTTTAAATTGTTTGTATGACAGTAATATAGCCTATATTACTGTCATTGTGCCTTTGTGTGTCTTTTTAACTTGATGAAGACCTTCATCTCATTTTGCGCAATATTAGTTATACGTAGTTTAATTTAAATAAACATTAATATATCCACACTTAGCATACATTTCTACTGAATAAGTTGATGATGATTTGTAGAAACTGAATGTTTCCGTACATAGAACAATAAACAACGTTTACTGTTATAACGATATCAATTCGTTATACATGATATCAATTCTCATTTTTTTTTAGTTGGAATACTTCACAATTATAGTAAATAATCTGCAATTATTTTAGTTTTGTAGTCTTCGTCCAAATATCAAATCTCAGACCAGTATTAACGAGTTATTATGTATAGAAATACTTTAGAGCAGTATATAATAGCAAAATGGTCGCCTTGGCTGTAAGCTTGGACACTGGTAGCACTTCTTTCAAAGGTCTTCACATGGACGTCTAGAGAAATTAATAAATTATTCTTTAACTTTCTCACGAATCGGAACATCAAGATTTAGTTGACGGTTCATGCTCTGTCACCATGTCCGTAAACTCTAAGGTCCCTAAGGCTCACGTTCTTTTCTGTCATATCAGATATTGTATGAATGTTGCAAATCAGTAATATTCAATTCTATTCGGGTGACAGTACTGACGATCGCTTACATACCGTCCTTAAGGTCGAAGGCTTTGTTTTAAATATTTTTAATAGTGACCAACTAAAAGTGGTTAATTTTTGGTTTTAATGTTTTAAATGTGGTTCAATTTAACTCTTGGAGGACGCAATTTTAAGCGTGTATCTCTTATTTGTCGTATCTAGTCTTTTCAGATTACTCCACTTATTGTAGTGACCATAACTTAAATTTCCAGATAAATTGCAAGGGAAAGCCAATTTCGCTTCCTCGATGTCCTCGATAAAGCGAGTCAGTATTTTCTGCCAGCCAAACGCTTACAACTTTTTAAAACGCAGGATCGATGGGACATGAATTGCTTTTATCATCGACTACCAAGTCGCGATCTTCTAAACCGATCGCTAGCTTGACTTGGTGACAAAGCATTATATCTCTCCATATTATTTACCGTATATAACAAAGACAGTGTTTTGAAGAATAACTCTACATTTTCATTAATTTATAAAAAGTAAAGTAACAGCCTATACATGTCCCACTGCTGGGCAAAGGCCTCCTCTATACAGAGGGTATCAGGGCATAGTCCACCACGCGGCCCCACTGCGGATTGGCGGACTTCACATATCTTCGAAATATATTTTTTTTTGTTATTATTTCGAAAATATGCAGGTTTCCTCACGATGTTTTCCTTCACCGCGGAGCACGTGATAAGTCAGCACTTAAAGTTAAAAACTTCATTGGTGCCGGCACCGGGGATCGAACGCAGGTTGCTCGAGTATATTGATTTAAAGGCGAGCGCCCGGACACTAAGCTATCACGGCTATATTAATTTATATTACAAATAAAATTATTTTACATTTTAAAAGCAATATGGAGGATGACCTTATTTTGACGGGCCAATGTTAACTGAACAAAATATTTAAGATAGTTGCAGGCTTGCGCCATCTAGTTTTACAAGCGTATACTTGAAGCATATGAAACATGAAACGCTGTTGCTTTGGGGTCGAAGTACGTTGTTATTGTTATATTTTTTTTATTTTAGCGATATTAAAAATGTTGTTACTGTGGAATACGCGTAGAAATAACTTATTAAAATAAAAATATATGTAAATTATCTTGGTATTACATTATTATGTTGTTTCAATAACTGCTTTATTTTCTCTGTAAATCCATGTAATGCATGTATAACATCTGTGAACATAGTTTAAGATACGAAAATTGTAACAGTGCGTGATCTGTCAAAAATGTCTTTTTGACGGCATTTGCCAATGGTATTATCCCAAAAAATAGATTTTTATTACCATGGGAGGCTCTCAAAGTACGCGAAAAATAACTGTAGACAACGAGAATGCAATTCAAGTTTCTCAGGAAGCAATAAACCGGATACAAGAGCAGCTGTCTGCCAAAGTAAATATGTTTCTACATTACATAATTTTATCAATGTCACAAACTATTAAATCAAAATAATGGGAAGGATTCTTAAATATATTTATGTACTTTTTAAAATGATGGTGCTTTATAGTAACCATTGAAACCCCAGATTAAACAGTCTCATAAACCTCATGACTGTAGGTTAGAATTGTTTTCATTAAAAAAATAATTCCATTGGAACCTATTGTTTAGTATACATTTTAAATTAGTCCATAATCAACTTTTTAAACAGCTCAATTTAGTTTCATACATTAAAAGCAATCTCTACTATATTAGTGGTGCTGTTAATCATACTCTAAGTTAAATAAAAGCTTATTCGAAAAGGAACATTAAAACTGTACAAAGTGGATGTGTTTTGTATATATAATGTGATCATTCAGTCATCAATTAACATCTCATAAAAAAACTCAGATTGTAGACATCACAAATGCTTTTCTAATATAATAATGTAATAACTACATTTATAGCAAGCTGAGCAGCCTCAGTCACCTCCAATACAATATGCTCCCCCACCAAATTACGAGTCGCAAAAACGTCAACATGACAATGCAGCTGAAGAAGCATATTGGGCAAGGCGAATTGAAAATCTAAAGAGAGCACATGAAAAGATAAATAGTGGCATGCAAATAGAGTACCAGAAAACTTTAAAAGAAGCTAATGACCTATTCAATTTAGTACAAGCAAACAAAGTTGCAAATAAATTACCACCATGTCAAGAAGAAAAGGCAAAGGTAAGAGCTTATCTGTTAACCGTAAAGTTCTAAAATATTGATACTTCTATTTTTCACATAAAAATGTTGTTAACCAGTAGATATATGTAACCAAAATTATAAATACAAAGTCATCATCATCAGAGACACATACTTTTAATTAAAAAAATATTATTTGTATAAAGTTGGAGATCTTCCATTTTATTGATTGCATTACAGAAATACAGAACATGTAAATAAAGCCAATATGCAATATATAACAATGCCAACAGCCAATATCATTGTCAATTACAAAGTCTTTCAATTTTAGAAGATTTTAAATGATTTTTCTTTGATTACCTAAATCTGATTATTCTTTACTTTCAACTGATGTGTTACGTCTGTTAAATACCTGCGAGATGGGGAGATGTCACATAGACTTAGAGATCCTATTTATGAAAGTATTTGATAAAGTTTTGGATAAGTGATTTGTGATCAAAGTGGAATAACTTAATTCAGTTGACATAGGCTACGATACCAAAATGACCAAATCGTTTCAACCGACAATTAGTCTAATTAGAACGCTGTATTTGTATTAAGAATTCTATTTCTAAAAACTTCTGTAGACTAGCTTATTTTGTTGCTCCATCTTCAAAAGTGATGAAGAAAATTCTTTTAGGACTATCCTAAAATCTTACCCAAATTGCAATGTTCAAATCTTATAGAAAATGAGTGAAGTTCACATTTCAAATAATAAACATCTGTTTTCAGGTGCTAGAATGCTACACTTCTAATCCGCAGAAGTCTCTTGCGTGTTCAGTGATAGTGAATCAATTTAATGACTGTGTATGCAAGAGCCGAATTGCTGCAGTGTCAGCGTCATCTTAGACACATTTCACTGTGTAAATAATTCCAAAACAAGGGCAATAAATGTATCCAACTGAGTCAACTACTAAAAGGCTCTGTTAAGTAGTATTTAATTATTTTTATTGCTGTATGAATAAATTGTTTATCTTATCATAGATTCTTTATCATTTTTGAACATTTTCATTGTCCGTCGACAGATTCTGCTGAATTTGTGATTTGTAACATAAAATTGTCAGTGTTACAATAAACAGAAATGGTAACACATATTGACGCCAATTTTTCAGATTGCAAATTGAAATTTTCTTAAACAAGATAAAGTGGAAAACGAAAAAGTTCACCCGATTGTGACTGTCCGTCCAAGAACAATGCAACAACAAATTATGTTGTTACATGACTTTGTCTCAACATAAATAATGAAAATAGAGTAGGAAAGTCCGTTTCAAAAATACTTAATTTATTACTGTACCACTTTAAGTGACCGTTATATGCAAAAACCTTTCAATTTTTAAATATATAAATGTAGGTTTTTACGAAAGAAACAAAATAAGGCACTAAACAACAGAATTTTCTTTTTATATGAAAAGTGAGAAGGCGGTCAACTGACAATAAATGTAAGAATGCTGCCTTTGGACATTACATTTGATGCCTTGCAGATGCGTTGGTAACCTTTAAAACAATGGGCCGCGAAAGCTTAACACTACGCCCGTCTTCTGTGAGGCCGTGGTACTTCCCGGACGCGCATGCCCATTCGAGCAGAAGCCCTTGCTTGGCCTAACCACAGTAAAAATTCTACACTCTGATCAATACATATTGTATTATCTAATTTTGACCTCATTTTAGTATTATGACTAAAAGAATAAACCTTTAAATATTTCATTGTTTTGTTGCCATAGCTACACTTTTGAAATGATTTAACATCAAATTGATATGTAGCCTCTGTACTTTTTCGCTTTAACTTAGTCCGGTTCTGCTGTTATGGTTAACGATTACGCTGAAGTAAAGAAAAGTGAGACTCACTACACAACATGACACCAAATGAACCCTCAACCTCTCCCGTGAAGGTAAGAAGGGTCCCACTGTACCCAGGTTTCCCAGAGTTGGCGCGATCGGACGTCAGCATTTATCCTAGTTACACTAAATTGTCATTGGCATAGTAAGTCACATTTTTTAATTAACAGATTTACGTATTATACTACTATGGTACATATACTTACATTACATTGCTCCTTTCAATGGGACTTCTCTTCAAGTATATGATGCCAAATTCAATGTTTCTAAAGAAATCTTATGATAAATAACTACTGTGGTAAAATGTGCAACTGTTTAAAATTTATGATTAGATAAAACTCTGACGAAAGACTACTGTTGGCATTGCATTATTGAAATAAATTAATAGTAATTTATTTCATAACAGATTACAATGTTTTGTTGTGTGCGTTTTATGACCTAATATTAAACTATAACAGCCAAATTAGTCTTCTACACTAGGACCATATTTTGTTTCTTTTAGTCTCTGCCTTATGTACCCACATAAAGAAACATCTCTTGCAGTCTTGTAGTTTGCCGCCATCGCTACCACTGGGCAAAGGTTGCCCAACGCAAACAATTCATGAAAGAGCTTCATAGTTTTGAACGTCTCCAGCCAAATGCTCTGGATGGTGTAAGAGTACATCGCGAATTTTCTCAGGGAATCCTGTCTCATAAGATACCTCCACGACGTTATATACAAAAACTGTCTAAAGATCCATTGAATTCTCACCAGAGGATGAGAGTTGAAGAAATAATAAGTGGCAGGGTGAATTTCAAATGATGAATATTTTATCATAAAATATTGATCTCAAATATTTTGTTTGTCTAAGATGACACAACATTTTCTTTAATACCATTTTGCATATTAGTATTACTAGGGCTTTAACATACGTAGCAGGCCAATAAGTTTTTACATTTCAATTGCCCCCTTCAATTTCTACAGTATTAACAGCATCAAGTAAAAATACATGGAAACCTTGTCAACATGATTGTGTAAAATATTTTAGCCAATTTATAAATGGAAAATTTAATAAATTGTTGCTCATATCACATTTTTATAACTTTGTTTAGCAATGGATTCATTTAATTTTGACCTGCAATATATGTGTACATTATTCATTGAACTAAAATCACTTTAGATGTTTCACAATATTTATTAGTTCTACATACAGGATAGAATCATCCTAAATCACTTGAATCACTCAGGAATCTTCAGGCATGATACCTTTATTTTTTTTTAATCTTTTACTCTTCTCTACATTATTCTGCAAGTAATGTGCCTCCTTCTTAGCTTGTGATATTTCTGCACGCAATCTCTGTTTCATAGCAGCTCGTTCATATGCGAGTCTTTCACTTAAATGGACCCATTTAAATCTTGGTATGTATTTAATATTCCATATCATATCATAATATCGGGATTTTTTTCTTGTTCCAATTTTAGTGTTATTGAGTGTAGTTGCAACTTGTTTTGCTACCTTCTTGCGTTGAAATTCAACCCAGCCCTCTGTAAATTGATTAGGGACCCGCTTACGTTTTTCTCCAGGCTCTGAAAAGTATATGGTTTTATTTATTTTTTCCAAAAATAGTCATTATACAATGTTCAGTAATTGTTTACAATAGGGGCATGCACATTTTTTGTATAATATTCAAAGCTATCTAAATGTAAGCGTAAATATAAAATTTCGATTATGTGCGAATATTATGTACTATATTTTAAAAGATTTAGTTTACAGTACATATAAGCCGCGGCAAATTGTGCCTAAAGTTTTGCTTCTAACTTATTCTTCTGTGAGGCTCGATATCTAGTAATATATAAAGAAACTGGCTCATTTACAAAACTAGTTTATAAAAAAATAATTGCGACCAAGACTAACCTAACCTTATTTTTTAAAAACCTTACTTGTGCTTGGTTGAAGATATACCCGACCAATTTCACCATATTGACTAAAAACTTCTCGAATCTTGGCTACATTCATGTACGGAGGTATTGTTGATAAATAAATAATCCCACGTTTCTTTGTTTTCTTTCGAATAATTCCTGAACTAGAAATAGACTGAATGTCTTCATTTTCATCGGCGGTAGAACAACAGGCTGAACCATTTTCAGGGACCCTTTCCATATCAACATGAGGCATATTTTGTAAAAAAAAAAACAGGACAGATTTAAGAAACAACTAAATTTAGTTTATAACCCTCATTACAGACTACGCTAGGTGATAACAACAATGACACGTGACAACGACACGATACTTTGGACTTTTGACAGAAGTCAGAAAGTTGAACCAGCAATGCTGCCAACAATGTAGGGCAATGTATCCTAACCACAAAAGCTTAGCTTGGTTGTTTTAATCTTACATAAAATTGCGAAAAATTATTTAAATTCTGTTCCATCTGCTAGCAATAATAAGGCACCAACAAGAATTACTTTATATATGCATAGGTTAGGTTTAGAGCAATAGTGACAAAAAATAACCGGAATTATCAGAACTATTTGGAAACCCAGATTCACATTGGTCAGAAGCGGCACGTAGCGAGCAGGTAGTAAGTCAGTGGTAGACACCGGACAAGTGTATGTTTGCACTACAGCAAGTACAGTAACTTTGCTAAGTTGCAATGGACGAGCAACGTCAAAAAATAAGAGCAATTTTGTTGCCTGTTGCGGCCACTGTACTAATTTGACTGTTTACACTACGGCAAGGGACGAGCGCGAGGGTTGCACTTGCACCAAAAAATAAAAAGCGATTCTATTTCGGGTCTAGTTGCAGCTTGGAAGCCTATTTGACTTGCTACCACTACTTTTTGAGTAAAAGTGTTCTTTGCTTGCTACTGTACTTACTTTACACCACTGTACTTACTGTACTTATCAACTTCACTAAACACTTGACCAGTGTAAATCGGACTTTATAATAAAGAAAAATTTTAAAATCATTAATAGCAAAATGACACTTCATCATAAATTTGATAACATAAATGCAACCACCGGATAACACTACACCCACAGTTAGTGTAACAACAAACACAATAGTTCGCCCTCGCCTCCGAGCACGGCGAGAACACAACGCGTACACAAGGTACACCCGCGTTCCAGGGCGGTTCTCACCGCACCCAGCCACCGATTAGCTAAAAACACAGTCGACGACCATCGGGGTCCCGGTCCGAGCCGCAACCTCGATGGCCCTTAGATGACATACCATAGTAGTTAAACGCACGCATGAGCACATGCGCGGCCTTACCCACAGTGGAGGGCCCAAACCCGTGGGTTCTGGCTAGCCCACCGGTTCTGCGTCAGATGAAGCTTTAATAGTCTCGGGACTGAAAGCAAAAACATCAGTTACAACAATAAAACAATAAACATAAATGCCAAAATTCCTCGTAATCTCCGATAATAACCAACTGTAAACCCATATGATGGCCATAACTTTTTATTAAAATCACGGAGCTAAGGGGAGGCTATGTTTTTTATTCAAATTTATTAAAAAAAACAAATATTCTTATTCAACATAGGAGGATTACATTCACTTATTGGTAGTCAAAATACTACCACCTATATTACAACACACTATTAAAAGATTATGTTCATTTGTGATTTGGTTAATTTAAATAGCTTGCCTCTGAATAGGGTATAGTCACCATTCAGATTATTTCATCGTCGATTCTCGTCCTGAGTAGCCTATGGTGAAAAAGAACTTACGATGACCACACTAGAAACCACTGCCGCCAACACCTCAGACAGGGTAGGATTTTTTACTTTTATATAACTTGTACTCTATTTTCGTGCTTCGTACTATATTCCATCCATTAAGGAAAGAACGGAAAAATACTATAAAAATCGATAATTTACATAAATGACCAATATAAATGCCAATCAAACATTACAAAAGCTTTATTGATAAAGATTACTGATATCTTTGAAGCCGATTAAGTTTTGTCTCCATTAGGTTTGCGAAAATGCCTCTATTTGCGTCAGACATGTAGGCATCTGCTCATAATTGAAATGAGTTAAAGGGAGAACTCTATGTTAGTCATGCTCGACTGATTTTACTGCGGCTTCCCATATACCGGCCAAAGTGTGCACACTGGGATAGTTTTAAATTTGATGCATCGATTGAATAATTGAGATTGAACATACTCTTCGCATGTGTTAAGAAATCGAGCAAGATCATTGCCTGCTCCGACAAATGTAGTTGCGTTGTCTGAATATATCGTTGCAGGCTTCCCCGACGAGATATGGTTCGGTTTAGAGCCGCCAAAAAAACCTTCTTGCCGAGATCCGTGACAAGTTGCGAAACATATAAATACGCAAATATAAGATTTCCTCAGATGTTCCCCTCTATCCTTACGCCAAATATCATTACCTGCCCAGCATTGTCGATACCTGTTGTAAGAAATGGGTATTCTAGTAGCGTTCTGTTACGTGGCAATTCACTTATGATAGGTTGGACGGAAGTGGTTCTAAGCCTATGGCAAAGAATACAAGAATGGACAATTTTTCTAGAGAAGTTCATTCCATTTAAAGGCTTACTTCTATCGTATGCTACACAATAGGGGACCTCCATGTATGAGTATTATATGTTGTAAGCTGAATAAGATTTTAGTGAGCAGAGAAGTATAGGATGTTCGATATCGTACGCATAAAATGAATTTTTTAAGCGGCCACCGACTGTTCTAATTTTGTATTATATATTACTTTTATTATATGTTATATACAATTTTAATTATTTATTATATATATAAAGATTATCAGAGTCTAAAAAAGTTTATAATGATTTCAATTTACTATTTGTACGTTACATTTTATTATATTTTAAAGCAGAATAATCTGCGCTATACATTTCCTTGTAAGCATGATGTAGAATTATTATACGAGATGATTCTAATTCATGAAATTTAACCATTGTATATTTTTTGCCTTTGTTTACAATTATAAATTAATCTTTTTACGTAAGCTAAAATTCTAATTATTTTATTAATGTTTTATGTATCAGATTTAGAATTCTATTTTGATCATTGTTGTCTGTTGATATAATTGTGAGCGTGTATGAGGAACTGTCTGAGATTTTGTGTATTTTTGGAAACTGTATGTGTTTCGTGTTAAAATTCTGGTCCAGACCACCACAAGGAATCCGTGCTGATGGAGTCAGACCTTCACCCCGCGACAGACTAGGTCTGCAGGGTTAGATTTGGATGGTACATAATTCCACGTGTGTTCATTTGTACTTTCTTGTATCTCACTTACTCGGATAAACGGTATTAGCTGAGTAGAAGCGTTGGATAACCAGGCTAATACTATAGTAGAATCAAACCAGAAATAATGATGATGAAATTTTATGGAAAGTGCATTAATCACTTTCTTCCAGTCTTGTGGCAAGCAAAGCGACGGACAGCTCCAGACGTGGTACAGTGTACCGAAGCTTAACACCAGGTGCTACCTTATCTTTGGAAGTAAACAGTCTGACATTTACACACCCATTTACTTCGACCGTTCTTACATAGATACAAACACCGTAAGCCCTTTCGGATGCATCTGAAAAAAATATGTACTTTGATTGTTAATGGATCACTACACACAGACAACCACCTTGGTATTTTTATTAAATTTAAAAGGTGAAGGGAATTTGTAATGTCTAAAAAATCTTTTCTTATAAGTCAATCTGTCAATCTAATCTGCAGCTCCCAATTTACGAATCCATAATGATTGGAATATAAGTTTATCTAATACAATGCATGGGCATCGACCCACGAGACCCAAGGGGTTTACGTTTTGTTACCTTTATATTT